TCTACTTTCTTACCTGTCCTAGGGAAATATACTTTAAAAATGACAAAGGTGATCCTGTCTATTCTCTATGGAAATTAAATGGAATATTATAAATGTAAGTCTTATTTATAGATTGATATACAGGTTCCAATAATTTTTGAGCCTTACAAGACATATCTATTAACTTCCCGAGGGGTTGTGTTGAAATGATTGCATGAAAAATGACCAAGTAAAGTCTAAGTTAGAATGGTTGGATAACAGGTATTATTCAATTTGGAAGGAGATCAAAGATGAACTAGATCATCCTCCCTTTTTGGCAGATGGGGTCATGGAGCTACTAGTATGTATAAGTCACAAGCTTTCACAAAGATGACTCTCAACATAAATTGTTTGCTATCGCACAATTAATTATTTCATTGGCAACAATACCTATGCAATTGATATAGATGTTTAGGACAAAAAGTTTTGAAAGTACTAGAAGCCTACTCTCTATTTTATCAAGATTGTGTCTGGTCACGTCTGCTATTAACTTCATAACTTCACTGGGAATCCAATATTAACGTGTAATATCCAACCCCTACTCCCCCACCCTCCTACACCGTGTCTTCAACTCAACTCTGCACTAGAGCCTGTGGGCATTAGAAGCCAAAGGTACCTGTGTAGGCACCTTTGGGAGAACTTATGTTTATATTTGTAAAAAATATATTTGAGACCATTATAGCCATAGGGACAGCAATCATATACACCCATAGTTTAATCTTTAGGTTTAAGAGATAATCTAGCAGAGATTTTATTTCAGGGTCTTGTGAATTTTCCAGCCCAAGGATATTTCTGCTTACCTAAGAAAGAGAAAGTTCTGAAAATGCATGTGTCACCTAAATATTAATGCATGTGTCACCTAAATAAAGTTGGCCGACCTCTATATAGTTTGATTTCATTGGATTTCACCTTAATATTTGTCAAATTAAGCAAAAATAAAGCTAACAAAATAATCAAACATGTAAGTTTCATATACATATTTTATATATACATATATGTTAGATATGTATGTATGTGTATATGTGTGTGTAGTCACAGTAGAAAATAGATTATTGTAAGAAAACAATGTAGATCTTAAGGAATGAATTTCTTCCTTTACCCTCACTATTTCTTTAAAAGGGAAAGAAAAAATAAAAGAGGAAGAGATAAAGCTTATTTAAAGGCATCATTTCCCTTGACATATTGGGATGCATCTAAAATTGAGAACAGCCCAGAAACACTGTGCTGATCTTTCCTGGATGAAATCTGAATTTCTGAAGACTAAAGTACAAACACAGTAGAGATGTGCTATCATAGAATACACGATACTGAATCTATACAATCGAATAATAATAAAAAAGTATTCTTTATATAGAAAATGTTTCCCAGATACCAAAAGATCAAATAAAAATCCCGCCCCTCCTGCTCTGCTTCTAAGTATACTATTTCCTCATTTGGGAAATGTTTCACAGCTCTTGTCTCAGGGCGATATTTTCTGGCTTACAGGGCTGGAATCAAAGGAACCACCATCTCCCCTCACTTAGGGAGCCAGGGTTTCCTGTAGCACCATACAGCAGATGGGTGTGTGTGACTGCTGCATACAACAAGCGGACTCTGGTGGAGACCTGATTGTTGACAGCCTTCACCGTGGTCGCCAGAGGGCTCACTTAAATTGCAGCCATCATTTAATCCGGAAGCCAGTGTACACACTCTTCAAGTCTGCTTGGCCCTCCTTTTCTCTTTTTGGTAGGTCTGATATGCTATTATTATTATCAAAAGAGATTAATTTGTGGAGTTTTAAAATCAGTGCTGTTCCTCCTGCAGAAGACCTATTGCTACTTAGAAATGATGTGAATCGCTGGAGATGGAATAAATGGACAAATATTAAGTCCTTAACTCACAGCAAGGTAAATATTGGATTAGAGTGTAAAACAGAGCATTTAATAACGTACCAAAAAAGTCAGAAAGAAAATTTGGAGGCCAATTCAACATCATTTCTATTATTTCTCATTAGCATAAAATTGGTCATATATTTTGCACAACAGCGTTCCACAGCAGTCACTGGCAACTTAGAATAACATATACTTTATGCATCAAAAAAAGACTAATCAGAAAATGATTCAGAGTAAAAAAATAATGAGTGACATTCATTATTCAGTAAATAACTAATCCGCAACTTACTTAATCACAAACCTCCAAATATCTTCACATAACAAAGACAAGGAACATGAAGCAAAATCAAAGGTGTCTTGTAGAAATAAGCACCTCTCTGTAGGCACATGCTTGAAGGACAAGGTACCGATGGCTCCAGGTGTTTGTCATGTTATATCAACTTTGAGTCTTGATGCTATCAGCACTTGTCAGGTGGTGCCCAAATATGTGCATTTTGGGCTTGGACCCTTTATACAGGAGAGCTTCATATTCCAAAAGGAGACAAATAACTAATGAAATAACCATTAATATCTGTTCTTCATGGAATATTTTGTCTTGATTATCAATTAGGAAGTAACTATATCTCTAAACTACATCAGACCGCCAGTGGATATGCCTGATATTCATGTTCATCAGGATGCACGAAGGTGTTTATAATCATATGATGTATGGTTCCACTTTTAAAAAAATGAGTAGGGGGCTGGATTAGGACTCAAATTTGGTTGAAAATATTCAGTCTTTTCAGAGAAAATAATATTTGACTTGACTGCTGCAGGCCACGTAATTATAACCTGCGAACTAGGTGAAATCTGTATGAATCCTTTAGTTATACAACAGGTAACATTTTGATGAAAAACCGAAGAAACAAGGTTGACTTCAAAAGACTTGTGAGGCCTTCCAGTTAGTGTTTGATAAGAGTGATAAATTTCAACCCAATAACATATTGAATACGCAGCTTATGGGATTTTTTTTATATACTTGTAAATGAAGACCACCTTTCTGAGATATTCCCAAAGATACAATTTTTTAAATGGGAACCTAGATGATCTAGACATTAAAAATTTGTAATAATCTTTTAAGAGTCTAACAGCATTACCTCTATATTTAAAATAATGTAAGTCTAATAGGACAGTTAATGAATACCAAAACCTTTTGTTAAATATAAAATGCATTTCTACCAAAGTGTTTTTTCAATATTTGAGACCTTGAAGTTTCACTAAACAGTGTTGATAAGAAAACAATGATTTTTTTCCCTACATGGCATATGTCTATTATTAAAGAATGTTCTCAAAGAGCAATTTGCTATGTATTTTAAACAGAAACAACATAAACTCAAGAAAGAATTGTATATATTCAATATTTGTTTCAGAAATTACATTCCCTTTCAAGGTAATGTGAATCTTCCACAAGGAAATTTAACCAAAGTCTTCCCAGACTGCAGTAAAAGAAATCTTTTATATACTTTCAAATACTGTGCCTTTTTATTTAAAACAGTGTAAACATAACAACTCAACACCACCAATAATTGGAAAAGACTGGTTAGGTGAACACTAATTTCCTTGAATGCCCCATGAAAATAAGGGTAAATAAAACAGACGAATCTTCAGGAGAAGTTTCAGTTCACCTCAGCAGTGGTAAAAATATTGCTTTATTCCAAATGAACATACAACACAATTTACTGTTCTTTTGGGGGCTTCCTGTGAACTGAAAAGTCTGGGCTTTGTGATTTCAACAATTTATTCTTTCCATATTAACCACAGAAGCCAATGTCTTGGTCCACAAATAGTAGACTTGCTACAAAATAAATAATAATGAGGATGATGAGAAAGCAAAGGGTAACTTTCAGTTTGATAATTGGCTTGTGTAAATAATTTAAGTACGCATGATTCAAAATAAACACACATCCTCAACTTGCCTTGTGATACTGATACCATTAATGAGCCAATAGTTGTTCCTCTCAAAAGTATTCACACCAGAAAATGATCTTGACATTGTCAAGAGTTTTAAAGGACCCCGCCATGCAAGTGACCTTGATTTAAGAACTTACTAACTGAATTTTACACTTAATGTATAAATTCAAAGTGAACAGATCTGAGAGGGAAATTTCTTTTCTGACTATTAAATTCCCTGATGTTTCAGAACAAATTTTAGCAAGCTTAATATGCACACACATGCACACACATACACACAATGAACACATGTGCATACAGCATACCTGTGCTCAAGTGAGCAAGCACATACAGACACACGCCTGTGCGCACGTGCACGCACACACACAGACACACACACACACACACACGCACAAAGGGCACACACACACTGAGAAATGCTCCTTTGGAGCCCCTAAACAATCTCAAAGAAAAACACTTCTTTCTATTAGCATGATTTTAGTGACACGACATTGTGATTTTTCTCGTCTCTTTTTCTATAATAATTTCACACCTCCCTCTGAGATTCTGTGCCTTCAAATTTCAGAGGAAGCTGGCACATAAGAGTAGCGAAGATTGTCCCCCAATTAGTCCTTCTATCTCCTACCCTCCCCCTTACAGAGTTTTTGTGCCATTCTTCAAAAATGAAATAGAAAACACTACATTTGTTGACAGGACATAACCTGTGATGAGGCTGTCGAGTGAATAGAAATTTAGGGGTTGGGACTGGCAAGGCAAATGGCAAGGGCCACTTGCTCCCTGGCACGTCCGCCCTCAGGATACAGCTCATCTCTTTGAAACCAGGTAACTGCCAATGCTTTTTTATGAGGACACTGGTGCTGTGGGGCTAAGGGTCTGAATTACCCACATCTACTAAGAGCCAACGAGGCCGGTGTTGGGACTAACTGAAATTGTATTCAGAATTCTACCCAAAAGCTTTCGTTGTAAGCTTTATCCCTCCTGAAACGTTTCTTTCCCTTTAAAAAAATATTTTGTTAAAAAACAGTATGATATGAGGGCGATAGACTATTTGGTTTCTTCTAAGTAGATGCTCTTAAATTAATGCATATAAATAATTTGTATTTAATTTCCTCTCTTTCCTGTTGAGCAAAGCATAGAATGCACAGATTCCTCCATCTCAAGTCACTTGGTCAATGCGGAGTCTCTTTGTATTTCATTTCTTAAGACAAATTGTGCCTCTCTTTCTGATTTGGCCGTGGGACTCAGGGGGAGAAAGGCTGTGTTTTCACTTGCACTGTCCTCGGTTTCTACGCTGGCCAGTTCGTAGTCTTCTGACCGCCTGGCATCAGTCAGAATTCGGATCTGCTCCTGGACAGTTTCTAGCAATATTTTCACTTCTTGCTGTTCTGCTATAAGACAATCGCTGACTGGAATACTCACATTGACAATATCAGCAGAGTAGGAGTTTTTGCACCATTTGATGCTTTTGACTTCAGAAATCCCTGGCATTTGCATGCAGGTTTCCTCTAGACCCACTGAAGGGATGATGGGCACGGAACTGGCCCTTGTAGATGAATATCCCATCAGGTCCTTTTGATCCAAGCTATTAAAATAGGAATTTGTCTCTCTTGAAGGCAGTTGCATATTTATGGATGCATTTTGTTGGGTTTTTAAACCATTGGACGAATACCTGAAAAAGAAACCGAGTGTTACATATTCTGCTTTCGGCTGTGCTTCTTAGAGCAATATTCAGTCAACAAAGCACTTCCACATGCACCATCTCACTGAATTCTCACAGCAACCCCATGAGACGGATAATATGCTCCCAGTTAAACAGAGAAGTAAACTGAAGCTCAGATAGGTGAAGTGACTTGCCCAAGGTCACACAGAAAATAAGTGACAGACTGAGACTCAAACCCAGATCTTCTTACTTGAAGTCCAGGGATCTTTCAACACACCACAGCTGTATAGGCAGGTGGGGTATAGTCTTCCTGACCTCTATCCTAGAATACAAAGTAAATGGGGATTGAGCAGGTAAGTGTGGCCTTTCCATAGTGACAAACAGGAAACCCATAACGGCATTACTCCACTCCATCCATGTGACCACCCTCTCAGCCCTGGTTTAGTCTGTAGACTTGTGGCCACACTAGTTGGAGGCAATCAGGAAGCCCGACATCAAGCATCAAGGTACTACTGTCCTGAGTTTTACTGCTTCACACTGACTTTAGGGGGACCAAATCAATTTTCATTGGCACTCTATAGAAATGCCTCACTGTCAGACTGCTGAGCCTACAAATGGGAATGGAGGCATATGATTCCTCTCTGGGGATGAACGTGAAGTGAGATCCATTAGACAGATTATAGAGCAGCTTTCTTCACATGGTTTCTGGAGCCAATTTAGGTATTATGTTGGTGCAGGGCAACAGCTTGACAAGAATGCCAACGTGCCATTCCAAGTCCTTTGAATAATATGCCAGAATCTGGCTAGTCCCCTAATTGCCTGTTCACAGCTAGTGAATTTTCCAGTGCCAGAAAGTGGGGGCAGGTATGTTGTAGATTCACAGAAATGTGGTCTGGGATCTTGAACAGTCTCAATTCTCTTGGTTTATTTGTCCTTCATTTAAATGTTAAATTAAACATTAAAATTTAAGCATAATCTAAACATATCCACCCTTTATATAATAAATCTTATTCCCCTTGTCTTACACCACAATGTAAATAAAAATCATGTTTATAAATGGAAAGAATAATTGCAATGAAGTGTCTTGCAGACTAAACAGAGGTCTTTATTGTAAGGACACAAGTTAGGGCAACTCAGAAATCTGTCTCTCCACCAGACAGTGAAAATACATGAGGAACACATTTAGGTGTCTTTACAGCTCCATCCTCTTTTACTATGCCTAATACAGACTTGGCAATCAATAAATCCTGATCGAAGGGATGCATGAATACATGAACAAACCTTCAAGGTAAATGCTCCCTTTATATCCCAGTTAATGTCCATTTCAAACATAATAACAGCTGACATTTGCAAAATGTTTTTAAAAAGCATAAAAAAAGCATGCTTATGTCTAATTACCTCATTTAATTTTTTAAAACATGGGTTTATTTATTATTATTACCATGCAGTGATGAATAAATAAACTAAATTAAGGGGCACTCAAATGACTTTCCTCAAATTATACCTTTGGTAAGAGGCAGAGGAACAAGTTAATCCTAAATTGTCTTATTGAAATTCTTCCTAGCAAAGCCAGAAATGAGTGGGCATCCCACGATGCACTAGAACACCTTTTTAGGGATGTATAATCTTTCTTACAATTACGATCTAATTGTATAGCCATGTACAAGGCAATTCCCTGGGTGGTCTTATTCCTTTCACATTAAGTGTTATATGGCTGAAACTCTGACCCTAAAGTTTCTGATCCATGACTTAATTTCAACAAGAAAAAAGGGGGCAGATTTCAGGGCTTTGTGTTCTGTCCTCAGCGCCATCCTGTTAGCATCATTAATACGTATGAAGATATAGAATGCATTCACAGAGCCAAGAAATAGAATTGAGATACAATTGTATTCCATATAGATAATCTTCTGGATATATCAATGGGTAGAATCTAACAGGTTGAAATGTGATGGTGATAGGTGCAAATTCTTATACCCACATCTAAACATTGCTTGTTAAACTTGTTGGGTAAAGGCATAAATATCTCAGAGGATTTTAGTAAACTGTAGCTTCATGACTACGTTGGCATGACGATGAAATAATCAAAGGCACTTTGAGCCAAACTGGGGCAGCCTTCTAAATTAAGGACTTAGGTGAAAAAGAGGAATTGCAATTGACTTATGTGTCACCTCACAAGTCAGGTATGGGACACATGGCTGGCAATAACTGAAATCTAGAATGTTACCAAAACATGGAGATGGCACCACAAACAATTAGAACTTTCCAAAAATGTAGATCTGACATGATTTTAAGTCCCAACACCATTACAAGCTCTGGAATCTTAAATCAATGGTAGTCGCACTTTAATTTCTTTCATTAATTAAAGGAGGTGGGAATCCCTAGGGGGATTCCTCTGGAGACTACCTGAAGTAATGCCCCTGGGCTATTCAGCCAGATCCACACTATTCAATCCTCTCTTCCTTCTCAGAGTTGCTGTGAGGGTTCCAGGGCTGGTATTTGAGAGAAGCTACACTACTCTCCAGAAGTTTAAGCAAGAGCGAAATTTCTAATGTGATTCTGGATCAGAAGACACTTCAGAGTTCTGTGTCCCTTAAGAGTCACAGACTCTTTCACAGTTTTGATCCATGAGCTTGTCATTCATTGACTATAAAATACTAGTTTGAGTCGCCCTTCCTCAGATCCCTCACCAAAGAAATCACAGTGCATTTCATTTGTAACTACGTGAGCCAAAGCATCCTTTTAAAGGTGAAAAAATCCAACAGTTAGTCACTTGGTTTGATTCCCAGCGGTTCAGAAGCCAGGCCAAGGAATCTGTGTTTCTGTAGGGGACTCCAAGCCCTGGTTCCTGGAGCACATGGCATGAGAATCAACTGGCGAAACTGAAGAAACCCACTTCTCCCTCCAGGGCCATACACTTAAGAGATTCCATGTACACATCATCCATGAATGTGATTTACTGCACATTTCTTTCTTGGTTCGGTGGTTCATTTAGTCAGAAATGCTAAGTATTCAACCTCAGTTCTTTTACATGGGATATGCTACCTTGCGTTAGTCATTTAAACTCTGCTATCCTTAGTGTGTTCAGTTTTAAAATTCCCGAAGGATAACTTAAGTCTGTCAAGTTGCTAGCTAAGTGAGGTGGGTACACAGTACAGTTTGGCTCCTTCTACTTTGAAGGTGGCGATTCAAGTTTTGTGATTCCATTTCTTTCTGTCTAGCATATGAATACATTAGTTTGATTTGCCTGACAAAGACTAGTTCAAAGCTCTGTAAGCCATTGCCATGGTCGTCAGGGGTCCATTGATGGGGGCAGAGATGGGGAGGGAAGCTCCTGAAGAATGTCCTCTCCACCTCATTCCTTCATCAGGCTTCCCTAAGAAATGTGCTGGGTTCAAGCAGGGCTGAAGTAAGTACCAAGGAGGGAAGTCATATATACCAGTAGTCTTAACTAGCAGACAGTGCCCACACACTTGATAAACAAGCAGCAGATGGCTGATAGCTCTTGTAAATTCATTCACTCCCCCTCTGGGCTAGGGCCAGATTTGAAGAGGGCCTTTAGCTGTGAAATTCTATTACCAATCCCATTTCCAGTCCGGAGAGACGGTCAGTCCCCCAGGAGTGGAAAATAGCTGTTTTCAAGAACTGAGAATAAGATTGCTCCCTGAGATTCATTGTGCTGAGCATACAGTGACTTAGAGTCACCATTTATCAACATCGGGTGCATATCACACACAGGAAAATACATGTGGCCAGCCAGCTGGAGAGAATATTCCAAACCCAATGATGATTGAACCAAAACAAAACTACCACTATGCAGACAGTAAGTGTAAGTCTCCCAGGAGGTGGAAGACAAAGCAATACCTGAACTTGTGTGGAAATCTCTGAAGATTCGTGTATGTATGTTTCGAGCCTGTGCCTGGCACAGGCTCAGAGCATCCTTATACCCGGGACATATGGGATGATAGTTGTAACAGTGATAAATGGAAAGAAAGACAGCACAGGCTGGGTCTGTCTCTACCCTAAAAAATCTCTGAACTTGATTTCCCCTCACTTGTTCTCATTCTTAAGTAACAAACGTTATTAGTGACTTAAAAATCACTACCAGTGATAAGTGATTCAAGAGGAAAAGTAATTATGAAACATGATTAATTATAATTATAGGCTAAATGCAAGCTCCCTTTCCAGATATAAGGCAAAGAGAAATGCAAACTGCTTCTTGACTTGCATTACACATTTTGGACAACTTGGCTGTTATGTTGAATTTGCAACTGTCACCCCAGATCTGTACCAAATGTATTTTACAGTTCATTGGGAATTGCTTCAAAATTACAAATGTCTTCCCAAGGAAATCTGTTGCTGAGTTTGTTCAGACAAGGCACTCCTTTATGTGTATCTTGCCGAGAAGAAAAGGCTCTCTGATAGAAGTCTCCTACCTGCTTTGGCCTTCAGTTTGATATGGACAGCCTGGAAAGATCAGCCAGTCCGAAGCAGCATAGAAACCTGGTCTGCCTTATCCAGAGTGATACAAACTAGATACAATAAGAACCTGGCTTGAGTGAGGGAATGGATTCCTGAAATTTCTGGAATGAACCCTGATTGCATGACTTTTGAAATTAATAATTCTAGAGCAGTTCCTGTGACAATAAATGCTAGTACTACTTTTCTGCTTATGTGTCAGGTACAAGCCCTCTACACATGTAATGTTTAAAAATCTGTCCAACAACCCATAGGAAGGCTGGTACGATTTTGCTCAATGTATAGATGAGAAAACTTAAGCTCAAAAGATAAAATTTTTTCAAGGATGAGATTTAAAATCCAGTAAGTTTAAGTAAGGGCTACCATGTTTGACTGAACAATTTATGCCAATTAGGTGAATGGGGGCTAAAATTCATCCTCCTCCACTCACCATGCTATGAACCCTATGAGGTCAGTGTCCACTCGGAGGAAAGGGCACCTTTTGCACTGCAAGAATGAGTAGTAAGCCATGGTATCTGAAGCCCATCTTTCCACACCTACACCATAAATGAACCTAGAGATCTGAGTTCAGCAGGTTGTGCTTTGACAATATGCTGCCAACTTTGAGTGAGACACACTCAAGAATTCTCTGGATGGAAGCACATACTATATATAAATACATTACAGGTTACTGTAATGGAGTATTGCCCGACAATGTTGATTAGAGAATTAACTATTTTTTTTCAAACCTAAGAATGAAGGAATACATTAATCCTCTTAAGAAATCTCTATTTTTTTAAATCAAAGACAAATTTCCAGTTGTTTTAGCAACTATATAACATGTGTCTAGATATATATACACTTACTTGCTCCCAGTGTTATTTTTCTAACATTTCCCTAATACCTATTTTAGTTGTACCTATTCTTTTAAGTTAGATTACCTTTTATGGAACAAATATGGAAGTAAGCATAAATAGACAATTAATGACAAAATCAATCAATATAACCCCAAGGAACACAATAACTCAGTTTAAAGTTAGAGCATTTAACGATACCCTCCCTAAATTCCATTGCTTTTAAGACCTACCCTTGACAAGGTATCATATCCTGGTCCGGGATCCTTGATTCCTCAAGTTGCTGATATGCTGGTCCCACGATGCCACCCAGCCTACTTCGGGGCGAGGGGGGTGTCCTCCTGAAGGCATTCCTATGGAGCATACCACTCCTTTGCCCTGGGCTGCAGCAAGAGGAGAGACTCCTGCTGGGATGAAAGAAAACCAACATAGCAATAACCTTACAGGTGGCTGCTCAAACTTTTCTGACACTGCTTTTTCACCCCAGACACTCAAAATTCTAGGCTCCATTCATGACTGTAGAATATCTGCTAGGAGGAGATCAGAAGTTGGTGAATCCATTCACCCTCGCAGAAACTGAGACAAAGAGAAGTTCCCATGTTTCTGGCTTTCTAGTTTGAAGTACAATGGACTAAAACAATTGCAGCTTTCCAGCCAAAGATAAGAGGTGGGCTTAAGGAGTTCTCAAGCTCCTGATTCTCAGCCACCCTCATTATCCAGGATATAGTAGCTGCCTCTCTAATAAAAATAAAAATGGCTTTGTTATTAGACACTGACAAAAATTAAACACAGGAACCCTCAAAGGGATTCACAGGGAAAAGTTCACAGGGAAAAGTGTTAATGGTAGAATAAGTAAACCTCATTTGAGTTGGCATTGTTTCTTTACCATATGTGCTAAATTCCCAGTTCACTACCTCAGATTCTCCTCAATCTTGAGAAACTACATTGGTTTTCTTTTGAACTGGCTTTTAATAAACATCTGATTACATATTTTATTTGACTCATACATCCAAATACCCAAATAGCCACGTTTTCAGATGCCTTCAAAGGGCAAAAGGCATAAATGGGATATATCTTACGTGAGATTCCTACATAGATCATGCTAAACAAAAGCACTAGACTCTATAAAAATCAGTGGCTAATTTGACCAGTTATGTATCCCATACCCATTCCCATCGCCACCCCCACTGAATTTACCCTGCAACCATGGGGACAGTAAGAGAAACTCTGTTGTAGACATTTCATGAGATGCCAGTTTATGTGGTCAAACTGGTTCTGCAGTGTTCAGATAGTAAGTGAACTTAGAATTTCTTGCTGCATTCTCATTTAACTCTAAACAAAACAAAATAAAACAAAACAAAAAAAGCCCTTCTAAAAATACCAGTAAAACCCTACAGAAAAAGATGAAAAATATTTTCAAAATTTCAGCAAACCTATCAAGTTCTAAAGGGACCAGCCTCCCAAAGTAATTTTACCCATATCACTACATGATTTGGAGTTCTGTAAGTTTCCATCCAGCAACATAACTGTTAGTTCTACTTAACAGATACAAAACAAAACATCTCAAATATTATTTGAGATCAGAGTTTGAGGCCTGACATTTGAGTCCCCATCGACCCTTTCCTAGTTTAGGCAAGGTGACTGATCAAAGTTGACATTCTTCAAGCCAACATTAGCTTCCTGAGTTTGTGCAAATACCAGGTCATACCTTGCAACATATTATACCTTCATTCGTTATCATAATATTTCCTATATGTTGACAGCATGTGGACCTCTAGTTAGGTCTCCAAGCCAACAAGTTCAAAGAGTTATAATAGCTATTTCCCCCCTCCCTTCCGGCCTCTATCTGTATTATCCACAAGCTATTATGGAGTCCGTGGGTTACTTTGGCTGTGGCACTGGAATTAGCTGCATCTGGGGGTCATCTCAGGTCTGTGCATTACCAGCAGTGTGATACTGAGGGAGGAATTTCTACCAGAATTTTGAAGGGAAAGAGATGGTACTCTAATTTGGGTCATTTGGGGAGATTTTACAACTTACAGACATGTCTTTAGTGTGTAAGGGGTGGGGGAGGAGCCAACATGGGATATATTCTGTATGTCCGGGCAAGTAACAACGGGAAGCTGTTACTATCCCTATAACTGAAGGGACAAAGGGAGGGGGGACTACCCGAATGGACAGAGAAGGAGAGTTCTAAGGAGAGGGCCACTTTGCAGGCACTGTGGCCCAGGAAGAGGGACCAGGGATGCAGTTGAGGGAACCAATCAGCGAGGGAGGGTGAATAAGGGCTGGGGCTGCTGTCCCCTTCCACTCTCCCATCTCTTGTCTGTGCCTCAAATCAAGCCAGTAGAAGCCAGAGGACAAGGGAAACTGCTGCTCTTTCAGGGCACAGGACAAGGCCAAAAAAAGTAAAACATAGATATGGTAGGAGAGGTGCAAAAGAAGGGTATCAGCATCATGCTTAAGTATTTTCATAAGACTGCTATAGGGCTAAAAGAGAGAAATTATACAACGTGTTTAGCATGGAACCTGGTGCGTAGTAGGTGCTTAAGCCATGAGTTCTCCTGATCTCTCCACCACAAGTGACAACCCAAAGGCTCATACTAATCAATGAAAACCCTGGTCTTATTTCACTCTAAAAAAAATCTGCACATGTGCTCTCTATAAAAGAGTTATATGGCTAAAATATAATGTAGTACGTATGCCATGGCATAATAGATTTTTCTTTAAGAAGAAAGAGGATTTTTTTTCCTTTGAACTAAACATGAGAAATAATGGCTTTGAATTAATAGCTTTGTTATGAGTTATCCAAATAAGTCATATTTGCAGTGCACAAAAAGAAATTAATTATGCAGAGCCAGCCAAACTGTCACAACAACAATGTCTTCCAGTATGAACTAGTGACCCATCTTAAAAAACAGTTCCTCACCTATTGATCAATCAACTGTTCAAGCCTTCTAACCCAGTGGCTTTTGGGAAGTTATAGAGCAGTTTGCAGGATATATAAATCAGTGACCAGGTTATCAATCATGAAAATGTTTAAGTCTACTGCATGTTTTACAAAACAAAAGCTATGATATATTAAACTATAATTTACAAAGTTCTAAAAGCGCTTTATAAATCAACCCTTGCCTATCTATCAGGACACAATGTATGACAACAAATACTGCAGTGCCATTGAACCAAACAAAAAGGAACACTTCTTAAAGATGACCTTATTTAATTTGTGAGTCTTTCCTAGAAATATAGTAGAAGCCAAGTTGAAGATGAGAGTATGCCAACAGACAAGGAGTAGGGGTAGGGTATTTGCAGCTCAAATACATTAGAAACTGTAATTCTTTTTTTTTTTTTTTTTTAGAAACTGTAATTCTTTTTCATTTCAACTTTAAAACATTGATGGCATCATATAGTACTAGAATAATATTATACATAATTATTTTACTCGGCTGGCTGGAACACCACTTCAACATGTATTATAATCAGCAGGAGAAATGTTGTTTTGGAGAAAATATCCATCTTATAAAAGGCTGATAATTTTGGACTTATTTTTCTAATTAAAGAACTTCCATTAGATCCAGTGAACTAAAATGCTCTTTTAACAGGCAAATATCTGTAAATGCCTCAATTGATATAAGCCAGAACTGGTGGTTAATAAAAGCAATAAAAGCAATTATCCAATAGCCAAACATATTGCAATTCCAAGTTGAAAATATTTAAACCATTAAAAAAAAACTTAGCAAAACTTTGGTATTTCAGTATCTACTCTTGTAGAATAAGAAAAAAAAACACCATCCAATAATGTGGATTAGTATTGAGAGTGAAAAACTCTCAGTAAATGTGGTCAGCTTCAAGAAAAATCCTTTTTTAGGGGACTCATTGAGAGTCAAGGAAGAAGATAGTTTCCTTGTATAATGCGTGTTTCTGTCATGGAGGTTTTCAAAACATTGGCTAGATATGTGAAAACTAAGGGTCAACAATATTTATCTGTCATTGCTGGGAACAACTTTTTTTTTTAGGTTCTTTTTAAATGTATACTTGATATGCAATGTTATATCGATTTCAGGAATACAACATAGTGATTCGACAATTCTATACATTACTCAATGCTCACCACAATAAATCAATATTATTTTTTTATCTTATCCTTTTCTTAAATCTTTTCATATATGTTTTTAAAAAATGTTAAATACCATACTTCTCACTAAGAAAAGGATTCTTAAATCATTCCACAACGTCCACAAAGACTTGGGCTGTAGATTCAGTTGCATGTAAACATAGCATTAGTCCCAAACTTGGGCACTTGGTATGGAACAAAGACTTTCCATTTTCAGATTCTTGTATGTAAAATGCAGCATGTGACTGGAAGATGCTGAAGAACTTATTTGGCCTCAGAATGTTACACAATTGATAAGAGAACTTTATTTTGGGCTTTCTCCCCCAAACAGCCCGATTTCTATGGTCAGCTTGCAAAAGAGTGCCACCCCATTGGTAACATCTTATAAACCCAAGGTTAAGATCTGCCAAGCTTCCTCTCCCTGAAAAGTTTTCCTTGTGTGAGAACCATGTTAGAAGACCTGGAGGGTGTCACATCAGCTACCTAGGGAAGAATTAGTCATTAAATTTGCAGACGGGTGATAAGGCAGGCTAGGAAAAGTCATGTTTTTAATAGTTTTTCAGAATGCAATTGTTTCATTCACTGGTCTGTGTCTGCAGCTTTGATGGGTGTTGTTAATAATTCCTTCAGGCTTCTTATAGGGACATTGCTGCCTGCTGTTATCTTTGGTTTACTTGCTGTGAGCTGTTTGAGCATCCACTCCATGGAGAACTATAGGGGAAGCAAGAACAATCATCTCTTCTGAATAAGATTGCCATTCCTTGGCATGTGTTGTCCAGCATAATATATAGTGTGAACGTGCCCATTCCCACCATGAGTAACTACCTGTACCTGTGGTGTTTGATAGATTGGCTTCCTCTGTCAGGAGAAGGGACCTCTGGGAATGACTGGGGGCCGGCAAAACTTGACTCCATCATTTTCTCCAATGCAGTCACTGGATGCCTTTCCGCCTTTGAATACTGTGGGAAACCACATGCACAGAGTTGAGCTGGAGGATAAGTTGTGAGAGGAGGGTCTATCACACCATAGCTAGATATGAAAAAGTTGCCGAACTTGCCAGTAACTTGTCCACTGGGCACCTGAGCAGGAGAATGATAGAGAAATCATTTGCACCCATTTCTCACACACTGAGTAGTCTATGCCCTCCCTCCAAACATTCTGTGCTTAGATAAAGGTCCATCCAGGAGGGTTCTTCACTTAGAATTTTAAATATGTCTTCTCATTTCAATCTACACCCATGGCACACTGTGCCTGACAGGCAAGAACACAAGTATTTTTTATTCAGTGTACATTTTATACGCACAAAAAATTAACTAGTACCTGGACTACTAGTAGTAGGGATTCAATAAATGCTGATTGAGTGAACCCCAGAAAATTCTCAGAATTATGGAAAATATTGATTCAGAGTTTCTGTCCACCAACCTCTACCATTCCCCTCCTTCAGCATTTACCAAGTAATTACTGTGTTTAACAAGAGAAATTTGTAAGCATTTCACTCTTTATTAAGCCTTGGTTTCACCTTTGTCATACAAGGCTCAGGAGACTTTCGGAAAACCTATAGAGGTGATACATTAAGAAAAACTTTGTCCCAAGGAAAGCATCACATGGCATCTCAACCAGGCAGCAAGTTGTCAAGTTTAATACTCTCTGGACACACAGCATTTGAACAAGCAACAAAGGCTAGTGAGTTTCTTTTCCAGAAACTCCACATAAAAACTATCCCAAGAAATGACATTTTTAGAGTGCTAACCAATCCAGGGAAAATTTCAAAGTCTGTATATTCATATCTAATGTATGAACAAGAATTTCAAAGAACAATTAACACAGATGTGCAATATACATATGAAAAGGTATACAACTGCACATATTTTGTAAAGGGATAAAATTCAGAATAGAGAAATTAAATTTCAAGAAGATCTAGTAAAGTTACAGATCCAAGAAAAGTAGACCTGGTACAAATATGTTGGGGTACAAATTTTCAATATGTTCCAAAATATTGAATGTACACACTCTTTGATCCAGAATATTACTCCTAGGACTTACCATTATTAGTAAAATTATAAAAGTTCAAAATGATATCATCACTACCGTATGTCAGTGGTACAATTTTTCCTTTTTTAAAGTTTATTTATTTTCTTTATTTTTTAAGTGTATTTATTTATTTTGAGAGAGAAGGGAGGGCTAGAGTAGGGGTATAGAGAGAGGAGAGAGAGAATCCCAAGCAGGTTGTTAGCACAGAGCCTGGTTGTGGGGCTTGATTTCATGAACCATGAGACCATGACCTGAGCCGAAATCAAAGTTGGATGCTTAATGACTGAGCCGCCCAGGTGCCCCATTTTTCTTTCTTTCTTTTTTTTTTTTTTTTTTTTTTTTTTTTTTTTTTTTGTGTGTGTGTGTGTGTGCAATTTTTAATAACAAAACAGAAAACAACCATAAAAACAGTTAGGAACAATAGAAATACCCACAAATAAAAACTATACAACTATTGAAAAGAATAAAATCAAGGTATAAAAAAGTATGCCTAGGGGCACCTGGGTCGCTCAGTTGATTAAGTATCTGACTTCGGCTCAGGTCATGATCTTGTGGTTCATGAGTTCGAGCCCTGTGTTGGGCTCTATGCTGACAGCTCAGAGCCTGGAGCCTGCTTCAGATTCTGTGTCTCCTCCTCTCTCTGCCCCTCCCCAGTCATGCTTTGTCTCTCTCTTTTTTTCAAAAATAAACATTAAACAGTTCGCATAATATGAAGGCATTTGCATAAATAAGGAAAATGCAGCAGATACACACATGTTGTAAGTGTGTATCTATCTATCTATATATATACATACACAAATGTGTATGTATATATATAGAAACACACACATATATTTAGCTTTATGTATATATGTGTGTGTGTGTGTGTATATATATACACACACAAAAACATATATAGATTTTGTATGTGCATATATATTTGTGTGTGTGTTTGCATGTCTGTGTGTTTCCCATGCAACCACACAGGACACAGATGAAATAAAAAAAGGAAAATACACTATGAACTGGATGTTTTCCTTGGGGAAAGTGTGTCAGTGGATATGGGCTATTGAGACTAGGCAAAATGTCAAGGTGATGTATCTAAACTTAAGATGGCAATCTCTAAATGTTTGCTTTTTTAAGTACTTCCAAAACAAACCACATAGTGGCAGTAATAACCATGTCTTGACTCATAATCTACAAAATGGATTTAGAGAAGTTGGTCAGACTTTTTGCAAAATGGAGTAAGTTGACATAGAATAAAAAGAAGATATGGAAATAATTTGGAAAAGATGGTTATTGTCAATAATCCAAAATTTTAAAGATCCAAAAATGATGTAAATACCTTCATGTGTGCTTTTTTTTTTGACTGATTAATGTCAATTATTACAAACCACCATGGGAAAAGTGAATTGAATGGACATGTTACTGGAATGTAACCAACATTGTGACCTTCCATTTGACTTTCAGGTTTTAAAATTTTTTTTTTTCAATGTTTATTTATTTTTGGGACAGAGAGAGACAGAGCATGAACGGGGGAGGGGCAGAGAGAGAGGGAGACACAGAATCGGAAACAGGCTCCAGGCTCCGAGCCACCAGCCCAGAGCCCGACGCGGGGCTCGAACTCACGGACCGCGAGATCGTGACCTGGCTGAAGTCGGACGCTTAACCGACTGCGCCACCCAGGCGCCCCTGACTTTCAGGTTTTATAAAAGACTGACTAGGGGTTTTTTTGATTGTTTGGTTTTTAATCCCAATTTCTTTAACATTTATTTATTTTTGAGAGACAGAGAGAAGCAGAGTATGACAGGGGAGGGGCAGAGAGAGAGGGAGACACAGAATTTGAAGAAGGCTGCAGGCTGTAAGCTGTCAGCCCAGAGCCGGACGCAGGGCCCGAATTCACAAACTGCGAGATCATGACCTGAGCCGAAGTCGGATGCTCAACCAACTGAGTCACCCACGCGCCCCTTTAATCCCAACTTTTAATAAATTCATTTAGAAGACAAACTTGCTTGGAAGGCTCAGCTACAGAAACAAGTGATATAATCTAGAGGTATCTGTGTCAAATGGAAGGAGGTAAGTCTGTGCTCCTCCAGAGGTCTGTGGGGGCAATATCAACCAAGTGTTTCTGGAGCATCTAGATTTTCTAGAGAAATCACTGAATCATTGAAAGTCAGCAAGCCATTCTTTTTTTTTTTTTTAAAGCAATGTATGCCAAACAGACTAATTATGTGTTGGGGCCATTAGTTCAGAGCCTCTGCCTTTTGGGTGTGTGTGTGAAATTCCAATTGGTTTTTATTTTATTTTCCAGTGTAGTTAAAATACAGTGTTATATTAGTTTCAGGTGTGCAATATGGTGATCCAACAGTTCCATGCATTACTCAGAGCTCATCAAGATAAGTGTGCTCCTAATCCCATCACCTGTTTCATCCATAAGGCACCAACCTCCTCTTGGTTTGTTCTAGAGAATCTGTTTTCTGGTTTATCTCCTTTATTTCCTTTGTTTATGTATTTTGTTTCATAAATTCCACATGTGAGAAAAATCACATTGTATACGTCATTCTCTGACTTATTTTGATTAGCATTATACTCTCTAGCTCTATCCATGTAATTGTGAATGGCAAGACTTCATTCTTTTTTATGGCTGAATAATATTCCTGTGTGTGTGTGTGTGTGTGTGTGTGTGTGTGTGTGTGTACATACCTCATATTTTCTTTATCCATTCTATGGACAGACACTTGGGCTGCTTCCATAATTTGCTTATTGTAAATAATGCTACAATAAATATATGAGGTGCATATAGCCTCTGCTTTGAATGAGATTTTTGATCATGAAAGCTAAAAGGCTCTTTTTCAAAACCCTGGATGAAAGTTTTGAATAGACTCAACCTCTTGGTTTGCTTATTTATAGTATCTATAATAGATAATATGTTCTAAATCTTTTCTTTCAAATGCTTGCATTGTTGTCATACAGTTGCTTTCAATTATACTATTTTGGTCAATTAACACAAATTTATTTTCAAAATTTATTATTTTGGATTTTTCCTCTCTCACACAGACTTTATGAGAATCTTTCATTAGTGGCTATGCTTAACATGAGATTCAGGTTTAAGTTGCTGTATTCCTATCCAGGGTTGGTTGAGACATATGGAACACTAAAAATATACAAATAATTTGGTAATCCTTCAAACTAATATTCTATACATATTGGTTCAAATGAATTTAGAGATATATTCCAGTTTACAGTTCTGACAAATAAAGAGCTTAAAAATTGTCATTCCTGTCCCTACAATAAGAAAAAAGCTGAACAAACTGAAAATCAATGACTGTTCTTATAGCCATTCAGTAATTGAAGTTGCATGACAAACCACCACTCTGAAATCTGGACAGACAAGACAATACAAGAACTATGGTCAAGATCAGCTTACCTAGAGCAGAACAAAGAACCAAAAAAGAGAAAAAAAATCATCTCATATCTGACATGGGTAGGGTGAAAGTAACCATTTTGAAATGGCTGTTTCTACATGAAAAAAGACATTATCAAAGCATTATATCACCTGAGGGAAGAGTTTCCCCCCTGAGTCCCTGCTCCTGTAACCTTCCTGTCTCACATAAGGGGGAAAAAGTGAAGAAACACTTCTCATGGTCATAGGCCAGTAAAAGAGTGAAATATAATCATAAGATTATAGATGAGTTCCCCTCCACCGCTCCTTAACACCACATCAGTAGGACTCCTCTATAATAACAGTAGATTACAGCTGACAAATTATAAGACACACACTCTATTTAAGAAGGAGTTCTTAGGAGAACCCAAAGACACAACTAAAAACAAAACAAACAAACTAATAAAAGACATTAGCTGATTTTAAAGCCCCTGGCATCTATAGCTAAAGCAAACATTAAATGAAACCCAGTTGCTATCCAGCTTAACATAGAACCTACACTAAACA